CGAGGCTAAGTGTCAACATCGCCGGATCGTTTGGAAAATTCGAATTAAATCACTTAATTTCCGACGATTCTGACGATGACTTTACTTATGGAATAAAAAGAACATCCTATGATTTACTCGTGATATGATTTTAATCCACTCATGGATATTGATATCTGCACTCTCTCGCTACGCTTGCTCGTGCAGATATCATATTCATTCGTGGATAAAAATCATATCACTCATAAATCATAGGATATCCTCTATTTATTGAAATTACATATGGTTATTAGCAATACTTTGTAGGTGCTAAATAATAAAATATTTAGAGTATATATGAGAGAAATTGGCCATTTCGAAGCTGTTGAAAAGTTTGTGGCTCTCGGCTACACCGGGGAATTTACTTCCATGAGTACACACATAAATGTGGGGCTCCCCAAGAGGTACGCGACAAGGTGACCTGGCATCAAATGTGTGACTAAATGCTACTATCGAGAAGATAAAATAACGAATACGACAATAAGTTATTGCATGTGACAATTCCGAGCATTCATCTCACTGAAGTATTTTGAAGTGAAAATAAGATTTTTGTTTTGATACATGGATTCAGATGAACGTAACTTTATTCTGACAACTAATCGAAACGGAACAAAATTGATTGTACGTAACAGACAATTTATTGTTTTACAATGTTTTGATTGGCTAAACGAATGAAACCAACAAATTATGACATGTAAAATGACAATTTTGAAATGTAAAATTTAAAAGTGACAAACACAACCTCCCTATCCACTCTTTGGGAGCCCTACTAATATGTACATGCAGCAGTGGTAGTGTACAGCTTATTATCACACTACTGGGCTTTGTATTCTAAAGCCTGTTGTTTGTAATAACACTGTTCACTCAACGTATGTTTTGTGTGTGGGCAGTCAACGATAATCATTGTTTCATCCCGGTTATATGACCTCGGCAATTATAACAAAACCGTACTAAACGAAAAAACGCAAATAAGAGAAAGCTTTCACACACATATAAAAAATGAACTAGTCTAATCCGCCAGTATAAACTCTGTGCTATACGTAGCCGGGTCAGGCGCACACTTTAAACAAAAATGGCGGTCATAAAAAGGAAAAAAATTCGCTTTTCAACTCAGTGTTTTCATTTTTTTTCTTTTTCTATAAATGATACTATAGTCAAAACAGTAATGTTTGTGACTACTTTGAATTTAAAAAATAAGCAATCAAATGACCATATTGAAGCAGTTTATGTAAAAATAGAAACATTTATATTTATCCTAACTTTTGTATATTTTAGTTTGTTTTATAGTTTAGCTATCATAAATACATTTATTTTGATACTTCTCTGCCATGTTATTTTTGGAAAAATTAACATGGCTGAAGCTCCCTAAATTACAAAAGGCCACAGCTTTGCTGCACATTATACATTACTATCTGAAATATACAAAAGTTAGGTTAAATATAAATGTTTTTACATAAACTGTTTCAGTAATGTCATTTGTTTGCTTATTTTTTAAAGTCAAAGTACTCACAAACATTACTGTTTTGACTAGACATTTTCAAAGATGTATCATTTAAAACAATATATTGGGCACATTTTCTGAAAAATTCAAAAGATTCTGTTCAGTGACCTTTCCTACCTCCTACTTTTAGTTATTTTTCAGTCACATATTCAAAGGGCTATATTCATCATGTTTAGGGTCATTCTGACCATGAACATTGTGATCCTGTACCTGTAAATGGTATTTGGAACTAACTGAATTGACTGGAGGTCAAAACAGAACTCTGTTATCTTTGTTCAAAAAATGTCTAAAAATGCAAAAAAATTGTCACTTCCTGTTTTGTCATTTCCTGTTAACTTCCATAGCATCTTTAGGCTCAGCAGGAAAGTATCATTTTCAATTCTGACAAAGTGATATGTTCTGTCCTTGATCCCAATATTCTTCATCAATTGTGATACAAATTGATATTTTTGTAATCTCATAAGAAGGATAAGATATTGAAGTTTAATAATATGAGTGATTGAGTTGGTTTTTCAGACATTACAATTTTCAATATTTTAAGTCGATACCCAGACTCATTCCCAGACTCATCCTTTATGACTCTTGTAGGACATAATAAGTAGATGAAAAGAATGTGCCCAATATAATGCTCTAACTGTTACAATCTTTGACATTTTAAAAGATTGTCTTAAACAAAAATGGTGGTCATAAAAAAGAAAATAGATCATTTTTTTCTCTTTCTATGAATGATATCAAATTTTCAAAGATTGTATCAATATATTAGGCACATTTTCTGAAAAATTCAAAAGATTCTGTTCAGTGACCTTTCCTACCTCCTACATTTAGCTATTTTTCAGCAGTCATGGAGATAGGCAGTCGCCAAATCGCCAATGCGAGAATAACCATGACTTAGTCGAGAATGCGGCCAAAACATGTTGCCTTGTAGTCAAGATTGAATCCTATTCTTGATACCTGTCATTTCAATTTGAATATGGTCCAGTTATGAGGTCCAACACTTAGATTTAAGCAATATTTTTACCAAATTACTTTCGTCAGTTTGTTATCTCGTGCTTGTAGTTAACACGCGAATCTAGATTCGCAAATCAGTTGCGGACATCCCCGGGTCAATTTGTTATGACGAATCACTCCAGAGGGGGGAGAAACACCAGAGTTTCAAAATTTTCGAAATACGCTTGGAATAATATTATGTTCATTTCTGGTGTGTTAACCAATATCATAGCTTCTCAATTAACATCAGGATAAAGAAAGGTGTACGGAATATGCCTATATCAATTAAAAGATCCCATCCAAGTGTAGTATTTGATAACTAGCCGATGAAAATTCGAACGAACGAAGGTGGTAAGCAAGAGACGTAATTATGTCTGTCATCTTTAAACTCTGGGGCTTTCCCTCCTCTTGAATCACTCATAGGTTATGTCATCACGTGATTTCCAGGTCCGTATATGGTAAGGAGGGTTGGCCTTTGTCTTTATGATGGACATGGCCGGTATGCATAAGAAGTACGAACGGTTGTCTCATTTGTAAATAAATGCGAACGGTTTATACTATTTGCACTAAATGCCTCAGAACTAACTTTACGCTGTAACAGGGATATTGTATATTTATTTGGTGACAGGTCATTATTTGGTGACAGGTCATCTCAACCCCTAGTCATCTCAACCCAGTCCAACTCAATCCCAAGTCAACTCAACCCCAAGTCAAGTCAACCCCAGTAAAACTCAATCCCAAGTCAACTCAACCCTGTAAAACTCAACCCCAGTAAAACTCAACCCTATTCATTTGTGCAATGTCTAATTTAATTTTTTTATGATGAATAATTTAAGTCATTCATTTCTGAAAATCTAGCATTTTGCATGATACTTTGAATAGAAAGTTGTAAAAGTATTAAAAAAAACGGTTAAGCTCAATGATAATTCATCAAGTTGTCACTATTATTTAATTTAAAATATCTTTTGAAATCAAATTTTAGATAATTTAGAAATAATCAACGATGTAATATAACTTTTTATTTATATGAACATGAATTTACAAAATCATTAAGATTTACTAATTAATAGACTGAAAGCATATAGGTGTAGCCAGGAGGGGTGCGCATACACCCTCCCCCCAATTTTGAAGGAAGTTGCATCATTTTTTTTGTCAAAACATATCTTTTTTGATAAAATGACCCATATTTTAATCCCATTGGTACCATGTTGACATTTTGGAGATAAACTCATTATTAACTATAATCTAAAAAGGCAGTGGTCTAATTATGATTTATTTAGAAATTACCAGTGATTGACGATACAATAGATTCTCTACAAAAATACGAACATCAACACTCTAAATCATTCGTAGTTTTCATGTATCAAAACAACCATTGATGAATCAAAAAAATATATTCGAATTTCAATTTTATCCCGATTTTATTGCATATTACCACGTATTAAACGTACGAGCATACACAATAGCATTTAATGCAGATATGTTCAATTGATTGAAAGCATATATATTCCACACCAGAAAGACGAATATTTGTTGTTTTGTAGCGGGAGTTGACAAAATATTTTTCAACTTCAGGCTGACTCCGAGTCCATTTGAACATACGATTCAATTGATTTAATATTCTTTTGAACTCATCTAAAATGGATTCGATTCACCAATTGTTTAAAATCGATGGGATCACTATAGATTGCTGTATTTCCCGGGGGATACTGGTCTACTTTTTGTATAGGTCAGGGGTGCCTCTCAGAGGTTCACCCACTTCAGTAGGGTTTTTATTTAAAAAAAGGAGACCCACAAGTAGGGATTTCTCAATGAAAAAGCAACCCACTTCATCCCCCATACAGCCATTATACAGAAGTACCCCCCTGGGGTATATTTACAGTGTATGTGTACAGGGAAAGAAAGGTCCAGAATCCTGTATCTTTAGAATCAACTAAAAGTAAAAAAGACCCGGTGTTAAACAAGAGGAACATTACATGTATATCAGAACTGAGTTTTCTTATTAAGCTCATATATTCTCTAGTAGTCTTATTGTGTTATTTATGACATATTCACAATTGAATAACATTTAATTCATAAATCGGCGTTATTCAAATTTAATACATACAACAGTATTCAAATTGTCTAGTATTATTTCCTGCTAGTCAAGTATAAAATCATACCAAACTTGCCCATTTCAGTCTGGTATAGCAACTTTGTAGGCGAGAAAAAAATGAAGCGTACTTGCCTAGTAGTCTTAAGTTTTTAAAAAAAACGTGTTTCCATGACTGTTTTCAGTCACATTCTCATAGGGCTGAAAAGGTTATTTCATCATGTTTAGGGTCATTCTGACCATAAACATTCTGATCCTGGACCTGTAAATGGCATTTGGAACTAGTTGAATTGACTTCTGTGTTCGGAGGATGGTAATTCTAAGTTAGCCACTTTTGAGTTTAAGGTACATTATTATCATTTGCTGTGAGCCTTGTTTAAGTGCCCACTGCATATTTTACAGGAAAAAAGAAAAGAAAAAAACGAAGAAGAAAAACAAGAAAACAAAAGAAAAACTGAAATCAAAGGTAAGATTTTTTTGTTAAATACTTTTTAAAAAATACTTTTTTCCTCCTATAAGTAGCTAACATTCATTCTCTATCCAAACTTCCATAAAAAGGGCTTGAAGGTTATATTTTACTTTTGGTAATTTAAATTGCAATGTCTGTAGTTCTCGTCCTTAGTAACATCAACTTATTTTTTATCAATAATGATATCTAACTATCAATAGACAATATGGATTAGTCCAATGATACATTTTCTAGTGCATTTCTACAGTCCCTAGTACAATGTTACAATCCCTAGGACATTGTTACAGTCCCTAATATGCAGTGTTTCAGTTCCTAGTACAATGTTACAGTCCCTAGTGCAATGTTACTGTTCTTAGTGCAATGTCACAGTATAGTCCCTGATGTAATATTTAAGTCCTTATTGCAATATAACAGCCCCCTGTGCAATGTTTCCATCCTTAAGTGCAATGTTACAGTCTATAGTGCAGTGTTTAAGTCCCTAGTGCAATGTTACAGTATAGTCCCTGATGTAATATTGAAGTCCCTAGTGCAATATAACAGCCCCCTGTGCAATGTTTCAATCCCTAGTGCAATGTTACAGTCCATAGTGCAATGTTTAAGTCCCTAGTGCAATATTACAATCCCCAATGCAGTCCCTCGTGCAATGTTATAGTTTCATGTGCAATGTTACAGTCCCTAGTGCAATTCTACAGCCCCTAGTGCAATGTTACAGCCCCTAGTGCAGTGTTACAGTCCCCAGTGCAATGTTACAGGCTCTAGTACAATGCGACAGTCCATATTGCAATGTTACATTCCTTAGTGTAATATTACAGTCCCTTGTGCAATGTTACAGCCCCCCAATGCAGTGTTACAGTCCCTATTACAATGTGACACTCACTTCCATAGTGCAATGCAAGATTAATATCAAAGCAATATAACAATGTAGTAAGATGATGTTTGCTTCTAACAATTTTATATTAAATTACATCGTTGCATGTTTTAGCGTGACAAAGTGTTTGAAGATGATCAATCTCCACTCATCATTGAAGTTCCTAGTAACCCGTCAACATATGCTGTTTATGCCAGTGTTCGCCAAGCTGTACTCGAGAACCAGATCAAAGAAACAACGAAAGAATATCTCGCATCAAATGTTGTGACGCATTCTGACTCTGACAGCGACGAGGATGAGGAATTGGCAGATAAAAGTTTGCAGTTAAAAATTCCAAAAGTAATGAATTGTTTAGATATGAAAAACATTTTCTTTTTTATTATTCAATACTTTTTTGCCAATAGCCAAACAAAGAGATGTATGCATCCTGCCCTATCATTTGCTTTTCTGATATAATTCTCTCTTACATTCTTGATGAATGATTTTTAAAACCATAAAAAGAATCCTGACTAGGAACTACAGTATCTGTTAAAATTTTGAGAGAGATTTTTCTGAAATTCTTTTTTAAAGAAGGAAAGATGAAATACAGTAGTGTGATAAAAGAGAGAAGGGTTTCTTATTATTATATCCACAAAAAGATGGAACTACGAGAAATAGAGTTAAAGTTGAAGATTCCATGAGTTATGTTTTGTAATGTCTTATTCAAGATGGTAATCATGATTTTCATTTAATTCTATAAAATAAAGAATTCCATGATTTAAACATGACTATTGCTTAGCAAACTGCTACTTTTTTTTACATATATAGCTTGTCTTGTAAGATGTATTTAAGTTGGCTATGTCAAATTCTGGATTTCTTTTCCACCTGGTTGCTCGTAATATAACTGTTAAATTTCAAGTTAGTTTACGAATGATTACTCACTTCCAATCTGACTCTGAGTAAAATATATTTTCAGATTGTTGGTATAGGACTTTCCAGTGTGTTTGAGCTGATCCATGAAACCAAAGAGAAGGTGCCCACACTATGTACCAGGGCCTTACAAGCTCTCTTAGACATGTTACAGGGTCAGACACCAGAAGGGTTGAAGCCAGAACCTGTAGAGGTTATAGGTATGTGCTGTTAGACATGTTACAGGGCCAGACCCCAGAAGGGTTGAAGCCAAAACTTGCAAAGGCTTTTATTTAGAATGTTTATATTCTATGTTAAAAAGTGACACTATACAAAAAGTTTTAAAAATGTCTTCAATAACATTCAAGAAAAAGAACATTTCTTCCCAGAAGTAGAATTTAGATAACTGATTTGCTTCCAGATTCATTATTTGATTTACTACTTGAGTTGGCCAAGACTCCTCTCCCAAACAGTCCTGTCCCATACTCCAGCTGTGACTCTATGACATCACTGGCATGTTCGGCACTACTGAGTCTCGTAATCGCCAGGGGAGACACGGGGAAGTTAATGTGTGCAATATCTGAGATGTTAATGAGCTCTAATGTACTTGCATCACAGACTATAAAGGTTTGTGGTAAACTATGATAGTTTTAGTTCTTTAGAAGAGGATGGAAGGAGGGCTAGTTGTTGTTTCTTTACATGTTATTATCATAGTTTGGGATATTTGGGATTTGTTTTCTTCATGACTGGCTGTATTCTTAGATGTTTCATTTTCCTCTCTGTTTTGTTTTAATTTTTTTCCTTCTTGATGAATTATGGTTCTATTTCAATGTAAAACTCTCAGTATTCATGTATTCTTTTAATTAGTCTTGAATACATGCATGCTGAATACATTTTGAAGATCGTCATTTATATAAGTATTTAGTTGCCTGAGTGAGGTATGAGGAAAAGAGTTGTAATGAGTTCCCTGGAAAAACTAAATACATAGAGAAGGGATAGTAATCCCATGTACAAGTTCTCTTAAAATGTATAGCTTAACCTCCCTTTGTGTATTCCAGGTTCCTTGTATTCTGACATCCTTGCAAAAGAGTGTCCAGGCAGTGTTGCTAGGCAAAACCCAACACCCAGAGTGGCTGACTCAGGGCATCAAGCTAGAGGCAAAAACAGGCTCCTTTCTCCTGGAGCAAGACAGTAAGTTGCTTTGCTAAATAATACTTGTAGTATAATGTTGTTCATGTCTGGAAATTCAATATGTATAGTGAGCTGGTAACCTTGAAAAACAATTCAAAATTTTTCAATCTAATCAATATTGGATTTCAAAAATCTGTTTTTATTGTACCTAAAATGTACAACATTGGCATTAGCGTAGCAGGCATTGGTAGGTGGTGTCTAACTTTTTTGAGAAAAATGTTTCACAAATTGATTAAAAATATCCAGAGAGATTCTTTGGAATGAAAATCCAGAACTGCAGCTCTTCATTCTCACTGACTAGTGTCCTGCTCTATTTTAGGTGCAATATTGTTCACCCTGTGCCTTGTAAATAGCCCCTAGAATAGATTTTCAGAATCAATGCTCTTCTTGAATCAACTCCATTTGTTTACATATTATTTGCAGAAACTGAAGGGACCAGTTCCATAACAAGTGATGGAAGATATATTTACATTTTCAATAAACATGGTCTCACTAAAGTAGGCTCTGGCTATGGCGGAACTATAAAGGTAAGAAAAGGGAAATATTTACTTAATTAATCTGCTCTTTGTCATACGCATATGATTGAGATTCTTACCTCTGAGAAATATATTTTGTGAAATACAAATCAAACATCAAGTAAAAACATGTATAAACGTAAGTCTTGTAACTTCAACATTCTAAAGGAGCAGGGAAAGTATCGCAACAGACTTTTGATAATTTTGACAGTTGATAATTTTTTTGTGAGTAGTTTCTGACTGTAAAAAGTAAATGCTTGGGAAAGGCGAATCTATAATCTTCAAGAAAAGTTCAAAGAATAGTTTCCAGATCAATTGGATTATCTTATAATCCATGTTTAATCCACCCATCAACAAGCTTTTTCAAAATACATTCGTCATTTTCACCATCGTCCCTCATTTTTTTTACAATTTTTCATGCAAAGTTACATTGTACTTGAACACATGTTTCATCAAGTAAAATATGTAAGGAACTCCATGAAGTTTGTTTTTGAGTTTTTTTTGAAAAAATGAACCTCTTAAAATGCATGTTTACAAAAATAATTTAGGAGTGATGTAAAAGATGGCAATGTTTTTCAATAATAACATACATAGGTGGGTGAATTACTCATGTGTGTTGTGTTTTAATCCTGCATTCACTGACTGAGTTAGCCTATTGAAAAATCATAGAGATTAATAATGCAAACAGTAATACTATGAATACTTCTACTTCAAGCTCAAATAGCGCTTTCAGGGTCCTGTGTTGAAATACTAGATCACCTTATGTGCATGAATTTTCAAGAGAAACCATCAGTGCAAGCAATTAAATGAAAGCATCAACCGAACATCACTTGAAAAGTACTAAAGTGGTGAAAAATTGCAGGATGTTGACAGAAAATGTACCTAGGGGAGAGGGTCGTCTCTCAACCCCCCTCCTCCCCCTCCCTGGTCACGGGACTAATACATGTGATATGGCAAAGTCCAATTCATAGATTAAGTTTCCCTTGCAGTCTTGTTGGCATTTTTATTAGAGTTCATGTTTTGTTTATGTTAATGCACGGGTAGTATCTAAAGCCCCGCCATGATTTAGAAATCGCGAGCAAGTTCCTGCTGAAATCACGAGCAAAGTCCTTTTTATTTGTGTCACTTGGAAATATGGCCAAAAATGGTAAGAATACGCATTACTGTTCTTTGAAACTTGAGGTATACTTTCAGAACAGGTATATCTTCACAAACAATGACATGAACGATAAATATGTTTACCGGCATGGATTAAAACTGGCGCAAATATGCACGTTTACATAATTTACTGTAACAAAATTACTTTTGTCGTTAAAATTGAGACAAGAACTACGATATGCATTCCTCATAATGAATATTGGATCAACATTGTATGTATTGATAAGTTAGTTTACAATAACATCTCCTGTGGGGGGTGAAATACACCATTGGAGGTGTTCCAGTGGCCCCGCTGAAATTATGAGGAAGCCCCGCTGAAAACATGAGGAGGTCCCGCTGAAATCAGGAGCAGATTTCACGAGTACCCGCTTCGATCACGAGGAAAGCTTCATTACATTCCATTAAATATTAAGGTTCTTCAAATAAACGTACACGAAAGACCAAGCAAAGTATTTCTATTAATTATATATACTGTTTCATTCTAGGGCCACGTTTCAAATGTTTTTATTGCAACTTCAAGTCATCAGAGCAGAACGATTTCGTCAAACATTTTATACAGTTTCACCCATCATTGGATTTCAAAATAAACGAACCAAAATATATAGGAGAAAGATGGATATATCGTGTATTAGACTTCAACATAAATTCAAGACAACTTGATGGAAGCATGAAGTTCAGGGGAATGAGCCTTTTATTAAACAGAGACACCCCAAGTTCCAAGAAGAGGAAATTTTGAGAGAAATGAGAACCACAAAGGCTCCATGATAATTCAGAAGACGTTGTAGGTTCTAATTTTATAATTTAACAATAACATTAAAGTTTTTGTTTTTTAAATATTTATTTCAAGAATGATTTATACACCATCAATGTAGAAAAATACTTTATTACAATACTTCAAAAAATATGAGATGTCAGGAAGATTTCGATGGTCATTTGATGTTTCTCCAAGTTACTAATGTCGTATCTAAGTATTCCATACCTGGCTACTGAGGTTTTGTAGGCACATAACGAGCCGATATACAATCAATATACCATGCGTATCAAAAAAACGCAACAGATTGTTATCTCGGAAAAGTGCAAATCAGTGATAACAGCATTGATTTCATTCAATGTACCATACATTAAAGCCATGTGTCTCCTCTTTCCAATGGTATATCATTCATTGATATTGGGTCATGTTTGAGCGAGTAATCATTCCTTTTGCAAAGTAGGCCAAAATAAGCTTGGGACCAATTTATAAACATCGCGAATGTCAGTGTAATATTGGAAGAAAACATAAAACCAATGCATCCTTTTCATAATAATCACTTCCGAATAATCATTGATTTCGCAATGTAGGGCAAAATTCAGCCCGGACCCAAGTTTTAAACAGTACATAGGACATATGGGATATTTGAGGAAGGTGTGGCAGGTGTGACATAGACACGCGGTGCTAACTTCGACCGTTAATTTGAATTTTTGACCTACCAGATGTTTGAAAATCAAGCATTGCGCGTCTCATACTGCACCGTTTTTCTTCAAAATTGTTCCATTCAAAGTAAAACAAAATTGCCTTTCTGTCGGTGCATTGCTTTATTGTAAAGAGTCCCTCGTTTTAGCAGCGTTTTGGTCCCCAGCTGCGAAAATGCCGCAGAAAGTAGGCACTCTGTATAACAGAAAAATGTACCAACAGAAAGGCATTTTTGTTATGCTTTGAATGGAACAAGTTTGAAGAAAAACTGTGCAGTATGGGACTCGCAATCCTTGATTTTCAAAGATTTGGTAGGTCAAAAATTCAAATTAACGGTCGAAGTTAGTACCGCGTGATAGACAGCAAAGTGTTCATACTCGTACTCTTGCAAGAATACATCCTATTCCCCTCCAAATTGCCACCACCTTTTGCACATAAAGATGCGCTCATCTCTCCATGTCATGCATGGTTCAGCCCTGAGTCATCTGTGGGTTAAAGCGAAGAATAAGCCCATTGGCAATTCTTTCTCGAAGTTTTGCAATATCTGGTGGAGGAATGATTAGCACAGATGCTCCTGAGATAGCTCCAAAAGAAAAATTCACAACAATTCAAGTCAGGAGAACTTCCATTGGTACTTAGCCCTTGCACTGATTTTTGCAATATCTTAAACTTGGTCCAGAGCCGATTTTGACCCACTGTGCAAATGGAAGGATTTCTCACCCAACCATGACCACATGTGAATGAATGACATATCATTGCAAAGAGGAGGACGTGGCTTTATGGTACATTGGATGAAATTTATGGAGTCACCTCTAGTTTTGTGATTTTACGAGATAACTGCTTGTTGCGTGTTTTATTCGTCCTGTATAGTGTATGTGGGAGTTATCGCTAAAGTACGAGACCGGGATGGATATGGGCTGTATCCACTCCGGTACCGCTCCTGAAAATCGAACTCAATAAATACGTTTTACTCAATTTACGAAATAAAGATTTTTTAAACTTTACTTATGCTGTATATTTAAAATTTTAATATCAATTTATTGATCTGCTCCGGCAATATATGAGTGTAAAATCAAACTTAAAAACTACTTCTTGAGAAAATCCGTACTTTAGTATGTGTTTGAATTTTGGAAGTTAATTATCAATATGTTTATGTTTATGCTATAGAATACATCTGTTATATCACATACTTGGACGTGTTACGGGTACATAAAGCCGGTTTGTAAAAACTTATATTTTCATCAGCGGGCAAATATAGCTTTACGTCCCTCTCCGAGCGGGCAGATATAGTGACGTGTCGCAAAAAGGTCGCGCACGCATTGTTACACATTTTCGCTTTTTAACACCACAGAATGTGACGTTTTTTGAGAAAAATGTACACATATGGAAATCCTTTCATCCTCCACATTTCCCTCTATAAGTGAAAACATTTAAGGCGAATAACTCTGATATCGTATATGCATTAACAATGGGATAGGAGTATCATAAAACACGAATCAATTGATATTTTAGGTGAAATGAATATACGTGTTGCTGTGCTTGAAAATAGGCGAATGGCGTAAATTAGCCCTATTTTAATGAATCTTGAAAACCTTTCGTCCTCCACTTTTCCACATACAACAGAAAACACATAGTTTTGCGAACAAAATCAGTTTAAGAGCAAAATAATCATTTATGATTTCTTAAAAATTGATCTCGTATTTTTTGTTTAATGTACACCTGAAAAGTTGAAGGTAACAAAAAATGAGCAAAAAAGGTCGCTGTCAACAGATTCTATTTTTCAAACTCTATGACGTCACAATATGGGACGCTTACTAAAATTCATCCTTTGAAATAAAACTTCCATCTACCTTCATCAAGACGAAAAAAAGTATAATAGTCATATATTGTTTGAGTTATGAGCTTTTAAAGACGAAAATTAATTCAAAATGTAACATGTCAACAGGGGATATTTGCCAGATGTTTTGGTAAAAAACTTTTTTTTAAAAAGAACTCGCAAGAATCGTGAAACAGCTTTAAAATGATATATAACTTTAATTAGAATATTATCTTATAATCCGGGGAATCAAAGTTACATTCACACGATACCCTTAAAAACAAATGCGCCACCTTTTTGCGACTTGTCAGTATATCTGCCCGCTACGTCATAATCGCTGTTCCCGTATTGGTTCTTTTTTGTAACGTTCGCATACTGTGAACAACAATGGAGAAAAACGCAGACAATCGCGATCTCTTTGATGCTTTAAAGAAGGGAAGGAGCAGTATGCCCCGTTAATAATCAAAGATTTGAACAGGAAAATCCGGCTACGGACAAGAATACAAAACTGGACATGAATATTTTAGAATAATTCCATGGTTGGTTGCAAAGCTTTGGCCAATTGAACAATGTGATTGGTATGGGATA